TATTTTTTATGTGCTAGGAAGGAAGAAAGTGACAGGGGAAAAAAGATGCAGACATTCGGGCTGGAGAGATGGCTCAGTGTTTAAGAGCATTGCCTGCTCTTCCAGAGGTCCTGAATTCAATTCCCGGCAACCACATGGTGGCTCACAACCATCTGTAATGATGTCTGGTGCCCTCTTCTGGCCTGCAGACATACACACAGACAGAATATCGTATACATAATAAATAAATAAATATTTTAAAAAAACAAGATGGTGTCCTTCTTCAAGGACAGAGGAGGCAAATCATAGCACCAAAGCAAACTTATGAAGCTCAGTACTAAGTTATAAAGCCATGGAAATATAGGAACATATGTCTGTTCTGATTGGCCAGATAAGCAGATAAACGGAGAGAAGGAGGGCTTGCTTTCAGCTTAATGTCAAGGGCTAATAAGTATTCAGTGCGGAATCTCAGAAAAGAGGAACTGTGGGAAATGATCATACGGCAACCATCATAGCCAAGAATAAGCAGGCAGACAAGAACCATTGGCAAATACTAACTCTAGGGGAGATCTTCATAAACAACAGGGCGTTTTCATGATCCTTAACTGTTTCTCCTTGAGCTGTTGGTTAGTTGTGCTGGGGAAAGAATAATATTGGTGTTGCACAAAAGAACACATGAACAAAGCTACCACCTTATTTTCTGAGAGTCTCTCATTGAAGCTGGGCCTCACTGATTAGCTAAACAGCAAGTTCCAGGGATTCTCCTACCTCTGTCTCCTCGGCCCTGGGATTACAGGCACACACAGCATTCAGCTGTGTGAGTGTTAGGGATCAGAACTCAGGTCTTTTTGCTCACCCGACATGCTCTTTACTGACTAAGCCAGCTTCTCAGCACCTAATAATCTTGATAACTTTTTTATTCGAATAAATCAATCAAGGAGTGCAATAAATTATGGTGGCTCTCTGATTTCATCCAATCCCATTTGTCAGCCCCTGAACTTCTTTCCTGTACAACTGGGGTTCTTTTCAGAAAGTGTTTGCCTATGCTTGTATTTTGAACTGTTTTCGCTATATGTTCATTGGGAAGTTCCAGTGTTTAGGGTTTTATACTGGGATCTTTTTTAACATTTTTATGGTTTATTTAACTTTATTTTATGTGCATTGGTGTGAAGGTGTCAGATCCCCTGCAACTGGATCTTAAGACAGTTGTGAGCTGCCATGTGGGTGCTGGGAATTGAACCCGGGTTCTCTGGAAGAGCAGTCAGTGCTCTTAACCACTGAGCCATCTCTCCAGCCCCTATACTGGGAGCTTTTATCCATTTTGAATTCCTCTTTTTGTGCAGAGTAAGAGATATATGTCTTACTTTATTCTTTTATATATGGGCATCCAATTTTCCCATCACTGTTTGGTGAAAAGGAAACATTCATTTCCAATTACTGTTTTTGACAAAAGTTAGGATTATACATGTATGAAATTGCCACACAATAAATAAAAATATTTAAAGCAGTTATAAAGATCAACAAAAAAGTATGCATGAAAATCCCACAGTGAAACTTTTTATGCTAACTCAAAAATAATTTTCTATGAAGATACTATCTGTAATCTTTCCTTTAAAAAGAAAAGAAAGCTGAGCTGAGGAGATGGCTCAGTGGGTAAGAGCACTCGCTGTACGAGGATGGGGACAGGAGTTCAGATTATCCACACCCCCACAAAACGTCAGGTGTGACCCTGTGAACCTGTAACCATAGTGCTGGTGCTTGGGTGGGAGGGAGACAGGAGGCTCTCTGGAGTGTGCTGGCCACCAGCCTAGCCAAAGAACAGTGAGCTCCGAGCTTAGCAAAGGCTTGAGAGAAGAAGGCAGAACACAGCAGAGGAGGGTCCTGGATACCAGGCTTCTGCAGCTAGTGCCTTCACCCACGGAGTCACCTGACTAGAACCTTTGATCTTATTGTTTGATACAGGGCCTCACATACCCAGGATAGTCCAGAACTTGCTACCTAACTGAAGCTGGCCTTGAACTCCTAATCCTCCTGTCTCTGTCTCCTAATTCTAATATTACAGGCTTCTGCTACCATGCTAGTTTTAAAGGTGGGTGGGGGAGAAAGGAAGGAATGAAGGGAGAGATGGAGGAAGGGAGGAAGGGAGAGAAGGAGGAAGGGAGGAAGGGAGAGAGGGAGGAAGGGAGAGAGGGAGGAAGGAAGGTTGTCTTTTCAGCGCTGGGCAGATGTGTCAAATGACTGACTGGTTGCTTTAGTTTCGCTCATCGCATAAATATTTCCGGGTTTCTAATCTGGCCAGCTGCCTAAGCTGTTCCATTATCACTACTGTGGAAGAAAACCCAAGTCTTGTGCCACAGAAGGCTCCTGACTTCACCGCAGCCACCCTTGGTGGTGTTTCAGGATGCAACCACTTCAGGGACCACCCCGCCCCTGTGGCTGTCAGCCAGCTCAAGGTCCGACCGATCTTGGTAATACTTGTGAAATGGGGGGAGCCCACTCTCCTTAGCTAGGTAGGATGGATTGCACTGTCCCCTCTGTACAGCTGTGGATGTGAGACTCGCAATGACTTTATCATAGTTGTACTGACAGCAGGTGAAAGAGCAGAATGTCAAGCCTGAAGTTTCGGATTCCTTCCGAAGCTTTTCAACACCGTCCCTGAGCAAAGATGTCTCAGAGCGTGGAATTGAAGAGCATGCCTCTGTGAGTCACGGGCTCAGTCAGGGCTTTTGAGGCAAGTGATGGTTGAGCTGCACTTCAGCTGAGTCACGTAAGCCTTCAGTGGTTTCGCTCCCCCCCCCCCCCAGGAACTCCAGACTTAGGCTGGACAGCACAATGACTGTGGGCTAGGCTGTATGTCATCGTTCTGGGTCACAGTGCTCGCCAAGTCATTGTCCATTCTGGAAGCTCTAACTGTTTGAATTCTACTTGCAAAATTAAAAAATAAAAGGCATGTCCATGGGTTTTTTTTTGGGGGGGGGGGTGGAGGGACATTAAGGACCACCTCTTTAATTTTAAAACAACAGTAATCAAACAAAATAAGAAATACAGGCTCGCAGTTCAGGCCTACCTTTTGATAAAGCAGAGTTGGCATCAGAAGAAAAATAACTGAAAGGAAATACCCATTTTCCTTTGTGCTGCCATTAAAGAACTCCTACTTCCTCTAACTTATATCCACAACCTCTTTATTTCCAAATTAGAAAACTGTCCTGTTCCTATTGATCAGTGAACTACTTTAAAATTCAGCTTCCAAGTACCTCCACTGACCTACCCAACAATCATGTTCAGTTGCGGAAGCCGGGAACGTTCATTTTAACAAGCTTATGCCAGCCAAGTTTGCAATTAGCTCATGTACAGATAAAGAAGAATCGCATAAGACAGCTTTACAACAAAATGCCTGATCCAGGGAACTTAGGAAGTAAAGAGAGCTCTATTTTGGCTCATGGTTCTGGAGATTCAAACCTAAGATTGGGCAGCTCCAGTGGATGACGGTGACAGGTGACACATGCACATAACCAGAGAAACCGTGGTCACACCATGACCCAGGATGCAAAGGGCCTGGATGAGTTCAGACTCATTATTCCCTTCCAGGAAATACCCTCAGTAACCTAAGGGTCTTCCAGTCGTTTCTACAGGAATGCTTAAAGATTCACCGGAACCGTCCAATAAATAGCACTACGCTGGGGACCCAACTTTTACACATGGACCTTTGAGGAGTACTCATCAAAACCGCAGGGGATTATGTTTTCCTTTGAAAAAATACTGAGGGCCAGCGGAGCCGGCCTGGAAGGGGCGGGCATCTGCGGGCCTTAGAACCGCCCTCCACGCCTCCAGGCCGAGGAGCAGAGAGGGAGGAGGTCACAGCCTGAAGGTGTAACAGAGACAGCCACTCCCTCCAGCCTTGTGAGCAGTGAGCTGTGAACTTGAAGCTGCTAGTCAGTAGCAACCAGCAGCACTGAGCACCAACACCCAGAGCTACCATGGCCTACTGCCAGCAGGAAGGGAAGGATCAAATCATATTTGTGACCAAAGAAGACCACGAAAGTCCCAGCAACGCAGAGCTGGTGGTCGACGACCCCAATGATCCCTATGAGGAGTACCGCTTGACACTGCCAAGTGGAGAAATTAACTGGAATTGCCCGTGCTTTGGGGGGATGGCCAGCGGTCCTTGTGGAGAATCCTTCAAATCTGCCTTCGCCTGCTTCCATTACAGCACGGACGAAATCAAGGGGTCAGATTGCGTAGAGCAGTTCCAAGCCATGCGGGAGTGCGTGCAGACGTATCCAGCCGTCTATCCCCAAGAGGAGAATGAGGCCAACGGTGAGAACAAGGATGAGGACAAGGGAAACTTCTACGAGGAGGGCAAGGAGGGCAAGGAGGACAAGGAGGACAAGGAGGACGAAGATGGCGAGGAGGGCGAGGAGGACAAAGAAGAGAGTGAGGAGGAGGAGGATAACTACTACGATAGCTACTATGTGAAGGGAGAGGAAGACGATGTCTACTACGAAGGGGCTGAAGAGTGGGAGAGCGACTATTACGAAGAGGGCGACTTCTACTATGAGGAGGAGGAGGAAGATGAGAACATCTACTACGAGATTGACTACTATGGGGAGGAGGAGGAGGAGGACGAGGATGTTTACTACGAGGTTGGCTACTACGAAGTGGAGGAAGAAGAGGAGCCAGCACAATCGGTGGAGGAAGCAATTGGCACTGAGGCCTCTGCTGCCACCAAGCAGTAGCCAAGTATCTAGAAGTCCCAGTCCCCAGCTGCCGCCGCCCTTTTGCTTAAGCCTCAGGACTTTCTGCACAATAACCGCCTTCCGATAGCCCTCCACGAAAGCACCTTTCCCTCTGCTGTTCTACGCTCTGTCCTATAGACAATAACTTACCTTGATGATCAGGGGTCTTGGCGGCTTGCCATATACCCTGAAGAAAAGCGGTGTGTGTGGTGTGCGCCTGCACCCTACATAAACCTACCCCCAGCACACTAGGTCGCTGCTCAACTGTCCTCTCGAGTGCCCTGGACTTTGCTGCCTTGAAAAAAAAAAACGTGACATTCTCAACAGTCAAAAGTTGTTACTCAAGAAAGTCTCTCGTGAGTAAGCCGACTTATGCTGATCCATTGTGTTCCTTTTGGTAGATTTTATAAGTCTTTGGGAAATTAAGTAGAGGCCGTTCCTGTGGGAGGAGCGATCAGAGCCTCGCCTTGAAGTGTGTAGGGGCTGCCTTGCTTCATCTCTGATATGCTAGCTTGTGCTGTTTGCAGTGCATCCAGGTTCTCGGGTGTCTACAGTTGGAAAGTAGAATTTGGATCCTTTAACTCCCCGTTCCTTGCTAAGTGAAAGGAGAGGGTGGTTTGGGGGAAGGTGCTGCTTGTTTTACAGTTTCAAAGGCCTGATTTGGGGCTCCTGCTCACTCAATACAGTCAGTTGTAACATTCTTGAGAAGTGGGGACCAAATGGTTGCCTGAAAAGCATCCAGAAGGGGATGTGGTCTGAATGAAGTATTCAATTAAAAGAAATGATTCCTTTAAAAAAAATGGAAGACAGAAAGAGAATGAGTTCTAAGACTTCGGGGGGAGGTATGTGGGGGACAAGGGGACAATGTGGAGGGAGAGGGAGGATATGTGGGGGGGAGAGGGAGAATATGTGGACTCATGAATGCCACAGCATTCGTGCGGAGGTCAGAGAACAGCCCAAGGCTGTCACTGTCTGCTTACCACCTTGCCTGAGGCAGGGTGTCAGCTGGTTTTCGGTTGCATATGCCAGGCTAACTGTCCCTCTGGCTTCTGGGAATCCTTTCTCTCCCTTTAGGAGCCATGGGTCACAGACGTTCCTGTTGGCATGTCTTACTTCTCTCTGGGTTCTGGAGATTCAAACTCAGGTCCTCGTGCTTGCACAGAATGCACTTTTACCCACTGTACCATCTTCCAGCCATTTTTGGTTGGTTTGTTTTTTTTTTTTTTTTAAATGAGGTCTTGCTGCAGTGTGGCCCAGGACAGCCGTGAACTCTTGATCTTCTGGTCTCAGTTTTCCCAAGTGCTAGGATTACAAGTTTTGTTGCCACACCCTGTCATTAGATCTAGTTTGGGCACCTAAGAAAATCATTTACACTGGCGAGATAGATGAGCGGGTATAGGCACTTGCCACATGATGACCTGAGTTCAATCCCTGGGACCCGCATACTGGAAAGAGAGAACCTCTGACCTCTACACACAAATAGTGGCACACACAGACCCAACACACACACACACACACACACACACACACACACACACACACACACACACGGAATAAATAAATGTACTTTTATTTGTGATATAGAGAAACTGGACTAGCTTGGTCTAGAAGAGGTGAATAGAAATAGGAAAAGCAATCAAACTATTAAGGTTGTTTCTCTCATCTAACTACTAAACCAGGGCTAAACTTGCTTAGCTTCCAAGATCAGACAAAACGGCATGTTCATGGTATGGCCAGTACCTAAGGTTGGTTTTCAATTGTATTAGTATATTAGATAGAATGACTTACAAAGGTTTTGAAAGTGACCATTACGCAGTCACCAGCATGGTTTTTGAAGCAGAATTTCTGAAGAATACATGCTGCTGTTTTTCAGCTCTTCCCAGGTGACTGCAGTGACTAGCTCTGCTCCAGAGGATGACGTCAAGCACCATCAAGTGGAACAATTTTGATTAGTTTTTCTGCAAATGTTCGCTTCTCTATGCCCTAGGAGGCCGTTCCCATCTTCTGTGACGTATGGCTTCTATTTATGGAGGACCTACTATTATGAGTTTAAGGTCCTTCCTGACAGACAGTAAATCATCTGCTGTGACTCAGGAGAAAATTCTTATTAATGAAAGAAAAGTCAAACCTCCCCATCACTGACAACAGTGACGTCACTCTCCAGGCTCATCAGGACTCATAAAAATGAATGAGATAGTAATACAGATAGGCAGGGGTGGGTATGTTCACTGAAGAGATCACCCCCCCCCAAAAAAAACCCTGTTCTTTCTAAAATGAATTCCAGAACGTTTTTTTTTTTGTTTTTTTTTTGTTTTTTTTTTTTTTACCAACCCTGATATTAAGACTCTAATTTTCCAAAAGAAACTCACCTGGTTATTGGGCCACTGGGCAGACTGACCAGCAGCAATGGGGACCTGTGTGATCCTGATTTGCCTTTTCTGCATGGGCTAACCTATCAGTTGACTTCTTCATTCTTTAATAATCCACAGATCCTTGGAGTATCACACCATCAGAGAAACTACAAATGGAAATGGCTGGAAAATGGCATCTGGTCTTCAGGCGTGGGGAAAGAAGATTTAGTGACATGATTTCCTGGTCAATTGGTGGCTTTCCAGGGGTGCCAATTTGCCATAGACTGTGGGTCTGGCCAACTGACTCATTTTGTCCCCGCATCCCACCTTCCTCATGGCACATGGTCTTTTCCTGGATGGTGGTGGTTTTTTTTCTTCCATTTAATGAGAAAGTAGTAAGGTAGGTGAAATGTGTCTGCTTCCTCAGGATGTGTTTTGTGTCTCCTCAGATACCCTGTGGCTTCTCACCTCCTACACTGTGCACCCTTAAAACGAAGTAATTAAGATCCCCAAGATCTCAGGAAAGACCTTCTGGAATTTGTTCACAGAGCCCCTAGTTTGAAACTTCGATTCTGACCTCTGATATATCAAACCGGAGAAGACGTGACTTTGGAGCAAGGCCCCTGGAATCAGGCAAGAAGCTGTTGCCTAAGGCCTGTACTCAGGCTGGCCTGTGCGTGTGTCTTTTGCACGTTTTTGAAATTCCAGTCGTTCCCCCCATAGGGTGCTCACATTTTGCTCTGAGACCTGTTAAAACATGAAGAGCCCTGGAGGTCTGTCCAACAGATGAGGTCCCTAGGGTGTCCTCAGGCTCTGTCTGCAAAGTTGAATATTTTGTTGATGTGGCAAGTAAACATGACAATTGAGCTAAGAGAGTAGTGCGAGCTGAGGTACTAAGTCTGAGGTAGGTCTCCTGCTGCTGGCCTTCTTCTTGGGCATGGGAATGACAGGACTCCTGCTGGTCATCCTCTTTGGTTTCAAGGCACGGTGAACAGACGTTGGGAAGTACAAAGCACGCTAGGAATGTGCAGTGTTTGTATGCCTGGATGATACAAACACAAGAGCATTCCTGTAGCATCCCTCAAGATAATCGCTACGAGTCTGACAAAGCTTCTGAGGCTTGAATCTGTACGTGTCTGTGTAACTCTAGGCAATTCTATTTCTCCCATGTTAACCTCCAAACTCTGTGGTCCTCCTGGAAACAGCCCTTGCCTCCCCCATTTTCCCAAAAGTCTCAAAACTTGGTCTAGCTACCCATCCCCATTTATTTTTCTCATCTGTATCTCTCTACTAGGACTATGAGCAAAACAGAGTAATTCCCTTATATTTTCCTTTCTTTTTTAGATTTAAAGATTTATTTCTATTTGTGTATGTGTGTCTTCTGTCTGTGTCTACCATATGTAATATGGGTGTGGCCGCCCATGGAGTCCAGGAAACGGTATAGGACCTCTTGGAGATGTGGTCACAGATTGCCTGACACGAGCGCTGGGAATCAAGCCTGGGTTCTCTGGAAGAATAAAGCCCACCCTGACAGCTTCCTTTGGCCCTTCCTAAGTCCATCTGCATGATTACAGATGGGAGTCTTACAGGTGACCTGTCAGAACTTGTTGGCATTAATAGTGAACATTCAAGACCTCACAGATTCAAAAGCGCTGTCATATGGGAGTAACAGGTGAAACTCCTAAACTATGTCTTGACTGATTCTTTTCTTTTCTTTTTTCTTCTTTTGTTGTTTGACAGGAAAAACCAACTCAGGCCATGAGATCAACTTTTAATCTTCTGTGGAAAGCCTCAAAACAGGAAATGCACACCTCTGATCAAGAGAAGGATGAACACGTTTTGTAAAACTGATTTCCTTTGGGTCCATCTTCCTTTTCTGAAACAAAAAAATAACTAAAATGATTTATAGAGCAGCCAAATATCTTCTTCTACCTAGAGTTCATAGAGATATGTATTTTTCTCATGAGACAAGAAAATTCATTTTCTTATACATGTTCTATTTTATGACCTAGCATTTCCCATCGAACAAAAGGATCTTAGTGAAAACCAGGGGAGCAAACCTAAATAACACCATTAGTGGTGAATGGGAGCTCCATTGCCTTAAGCAAACAACCCTGGGCAAAATCAGTTCTCAACCAGTATGGTCATCTGTAAATGATATGAATTTGCTTATTTTTTGCAGAGTACTCTTTTTGTTTAAAGCTATATAAAGAAAATACTTTGATATTAGCTGATTTACCATTGGTCCCCTGTAAAAATTAAAATTCTTTTTGACTAATTTGGTTACCTCCATAGCTAGAAGGGTACCTGTAATTGAACAAATTGATTTTTGATTAATGTTTAGAATACCTACCATTCAGAGGGTTTGCCAAAATGAATACAGAAAAGCAAACCTTCACTGACAAAAGACTATTACACTCAATTCACAACCAGCTGTTAAAGTTTGACAATAAGAAATGAATGAACAATCAGACATAAATGAACACAGTTCATGAACAGACACTTTTCTAAATAAGACCCCCGACTCCTAGCATGATGAAATTGCCATTTCTTAAGATGGAGATGCTCCTTGGAGAATTGCATACCATGTTACCTTACACAGGGCCATTTCCTTACTTCCTCTCCTCTAGATCTGCCCACTGATGTAGACTGACAGATAGCCTCATAGCTTGCTGCAGTTCTAGGCCAGGGGTGATCAAATAAACACTGTTGAGATCTGGAAAGTAGAATTGGAACATCAGCCATTACACCTTGAAGGTTTGGGTCAGGTGTCAGATACCACTGCAGCTTCTAACAGTCTCTAGTGATGGATGATATGGGGCAAGGGTAAGCAACAGCTGGAACCTCAGCTCCCGCTGGATCTCTTCCCTCAACTTTCCTGAATCCAGGGCCAGGTTTCTGTACAGATCAATGAGAAGGGAGTTAGACCCTTCTATAGGTTACCTCTATCATCAAAGTTCAAGGCAGTGAGACCAGACAGACTTGTTCTCACTGGTCCCAGTTAAACCTTGTACATTCCTAATGATCCTTGATGTCTTCTGCTTCATGCCCCGCTTTTCTTTTGCTTTGCACTGCTAGCCTGCCATGCAATCAGGCTCTCCCTCTGAGAAAGAAGCAACAGCCCTTCATAGATTCTAGTAGCTTCCCTTAGTGATCCCTGGTGGATAATGGCTTCTGCGCTCTTATCCTTCAACTGTCTTCTCCCACCGCTCAGTTCCCTTGCGTCTCCTATGATCGTGTGGAGCCTGATTCCTATAAATAAATATGTCATTCCATAGCACACACAGCAGTTCCAATTTCTTGTTGAAACGCCACCGATGCACTGCTAAAGGAGCAAGTTGTCAGGAGTTCAGCTTCAGTGTGTGAAATTTAGATTTCCTATTCAGCATCCAGGTACCTGAATATTTGGAATAGGAAGCTTAATGCTGTGAGTAGTATGTGGTCCATGCTAGGGATGGAAACTGGCAAGCCATAACTGTACAGGGAAAGCCTTGCATAAGACTAATGACATCATCCAAGTTATTGGCTCCTAGATCAATATCAATGTACAACTGATCTTAAAGCCATAAGACAAAATGAGGTCATTGAAGCATTAAGGGTTAGCAGAGAAAATTCAGTAAAAATACTGGATAAAGAATGCTCTAATATTAAAAAATGTAAAGTGCCAGCTGTGGTGTCTCACATTTGTAATCCCAGCAGACTAGAGAACTGCCATGAGAGCCGGGCGGTGGTGGCGCACGCCTTTAATCCCAGCACTCGGGAGGCAGAGGCAGGCGGATCTCTGTGAGTTCGAGACCAGCCTGGTCTACAAGAGCTAGTTCCAGGACAGGCTCCAAAACCACAGAAAAACCCTGTCTCGAAAAACCAAAAAAAAAAAAAAAAAAAAAAAAAAAGAGAGAGAGAGAACTGCCATGAGTTCAAGGACAGAGTGAGTTACATAGTGAGTTCCGGGCCAGCCCAGGCTACAGGGTGGAACTCTATCTCAAACAATCCAAAAAGGAGAAAAATAGACAGGGAGAGAAAATAGTTAGGTATGAAGGTGCAGGCCAGTAATCCAAGCACTCTGGAGTCTGAAGCAAGAGACAAACAAACTTCAGGCCAGCCTGGGCACCCTGTCTCAAGAAGAAAAGAAGCCATTGCTCATGATAGCAAGTCACCAATTAAAACCTGACTGAATAAAGAAAGGGGCAGGGACTTAACAAGCCTCCAGGTCTGAGGATCTAGAGACAGCTGATGACTTCTGCGGGAAGGGAGAAGCAGCTTTCTTCAACGTGTGGTCCTGGATAGGTCCATCATGCCTCAGTGGATGGCCCCACACTCAGGTGTATACGGGCAGCTCAAATGGACACAACAGGTCATTTTTAAGAAAAGACATGAAGTTGGAAGGAGGAGAGGGGTGGGGGTGATTTAGGAGGAGTTAGGGGGTATTGATAGGGACGAAATACATTGTAATAAGTTCTCAAAGAATTAATAAAATGTTATATATTTTAAAGTTGGTCAGACAAATTTAAACCACTGAAAACTGGCATGGGATTTTAAAGAAGAAACCATGGGAAAATTTGTTTTACACTAAAAGAACAAACACTGAGTGAAGACTAAAAAGACTAAAATGAGGAAATTTGGGCATGGTTATAGATTGCTTCCAAAGCAAATAAATAAAATACTTTGTTAGTTTTAATGCACTTTCTAAAGATTTGGTGATGTTTTTGTTTGCATCGGACCAAAGACTCTATTAACTAAGAAAAATTGGTAAATTTTAGAACATTCGAAAGACAAAATGAAATAAAAACAAAAAGTCAAATGGGAAGCACACTATCATGCCCAATGTGTAAAGGGCTGTGTGGCCGAGGGACTACTGTCTCTGTTTCCAAAGCTTGACTTGTTACATAAGAGGAGTGACTCACAGTCACAGATTGTTTTGTCCCTCCGGGACGTTTGGAAATGTCTACAAATATGTTTAGCTGTCAGAAAATGCAGGAGGCTGCTGCTGGCACCCAGTGGGTAGAGATTAAGCATGCTGATAAACATCCCACAGAGCACAGGGTGGCTCCCAAGGTGCGTGGAGATAATGCACACAGTGAGAAATTACGACCTCAGCACAAGATGTAGAGCAATTTGCTTTTTCATTTTTATTCGTGTGTGTGCGTGCGTGCGTGCACGCGCGCGCGTGTAGGAATGTGCATGTGTACACTTGAGGAGGCCCTAAAAGGACACCAGATTCCCCAAATCTGGAGTTGCAGGTGGTTTGTAAGGTGCCTGACATGGGAGCTGAGAACCAAACTCTCGTCCCCGTCTTCTGTGAGAGCCCAAAAACCTGCAAAAGATCACAAGAGAGAGAAACAATGATGAGGAAGGTCGGGGTCATCAAAAGGATGATGGCAAGTGGAAGAGGAAAGAGACTGGAGGGAGGCTATAAGGGACCAGGATTAGTGCAGTGAGGAGATGTGGAAGTGGAGGACCACTAACTGGAGGAAAGGGGCTTGCAGGGAGGAGGGGCCACAGGTAGTAGGATGGAAGGCGAGAGGGTGAAGGTACCATAATCAGAACATACTCTATAGAGTATATATTTTGTATACATAAGAAATTGTCAAAAAATGAATTTAATATAAGACTTAAAATTTAAAAAGAGAAGGAAGATAATGCGATGCAAGACTTATGGGCTCTGAGACATTTGACGCTCCAATAAACAACACAGGGCAGATATAGAGGCAATAAGTGAAGTAATGGGCAATGGGAAGTGCTGTCCGTTCAGTTTCTCTTACAGAGCTACAGCTGCTGGAGCAGAGACAGATTGACAGATTAAGTCTCAAGCCAACTGATAGACTGCTAACCCAGAATGAGACGTACTGAAAAGTATCATCAACTTCCCCGCTCTGGGTACTCTGTTCTTCTAAGATCTCTGGTGCCCCGTCTAATGAACTGTACCACGGAAGGGAAGCACAGACCTGGGAACCAATGGGCAAGGATGGATGTGGCTTACTAATTGTAAACTCAGCCAATGATCTCTCAATTAAATGAGTTCTCTTACTCCTCTAGCAAGATCTTCCAGGCCATAAGTTTTCCCGTCTTGCGCTGCTGTAAAGAGAGGACTGTTCACAGAGTTCTGAAATCCAGCCACTATGCTCCTTTACATGCTTAGGGTTCCAAAGGCTGTGCACACGGTGTAATTAAAAGCAAACAAACACACACACAAAAATACTTCACCTTGTTGGAAAGATGAGGCAATAGGCCAGCTGCTGCCCTACAGAAGAACACACACAAAAAGAATACAAGTCTAGAGTCTCCTGGGACAATTGTGCCCAGGCTGCTTTGGGGACTGTCCAGTGGGGACATCAAAGAGTAGACTATCTTTGGTCTTTTGACCTTAAAGCATAAAATTGCTTGCTCCCCTTAAATGGGGCACAGTCTCACTTATCCACATGCCCTGGTTCATTCCATAGCACCTGTCTATGTCAGGAAGCATGAACAACTGACTCATCCCACTTATCTTCAGTATTAAAAGAAAGAAAGTGTTGTCTGAGCCCTATCCATCTCCTGGGGTATCGCCATTCTGTACACACATACAGGATCATACTGCAAGGATGTGAGACTCGCAATTTGAGGACATCCTCAATCCACATTGAGAGGAATGGTCCTTGTCTGAGACAACCACAACTGTCAAGGAGCACTGTTGTTGGCCCTGCCCCAGGCAATGAGAGAGGAGTGTGGATAAATGCCACAGCTTCCTTGCCTCTAAGATAAAACCAACTGAGGCTCATTCTGCACTGCTTCCCATGAGTCTCCAATGGGGACCAGTTGCCTACATCTCTCTTGTAGCTTTTTCTTGTCTTCTTTCCTGTCCCTAATTTGTCTCCTTGTTTCCTCACTGGTACTTCTTCAAACAAATGGTCAGAAAACTGCTTGTTCTCCAATCCTCTGCTCAGTGAAAGCTGAAATCCCATGAGACGCAATGTAAAACACAGTTTGTGCAACAATTGAATACTTGCAGTAATTTTTAACTCTCGACTCGAAATAGCCTCGAATCTCCTCGAGAGTCTTTTTCTCTCAAGATTTATTTTATTTCTAGTTATGCATAGATGTCTACATGTGAGTATGTATATATGAGTGCAGGTGCCTGCAGAAGCCAGAAGAGG